TTAACTTGGTGTTGATGCGTTCATGGTTTAACCTTTTCTCTTAAGTAGATAATCTTTTTTAAACCCCTCCCCAAAGTCTAGCCTGCATTCGGATCTGTTTTTCTATACCAAAAAAGTAAAACAAGTTTATCTTAAATTAGGATGCCATTGCCAAGTGGAATTGGTAGTAAAAAAGCATTTTAATTTGTGACTAGTGCTACATAGCATTTTAGTTAATTAATTTGTTGGTTGCTTGCTTGAGAAATGACAAGAGCCTATTAGTTTGTTATGTATTGTTGGTGTCTTTGAGAATATGGGCAACAACTGGAACTGCTAGCTAACTTGTGGGCAGCAAACATGTTTGCATATTTGAACTTTTTGGCCATGCATGTCTGCATCTTGGCACAAAACACGTTTAGCAACATTAACCAATCTCAGCAAAACTCTTTGCTGTCTCTTCAACCACTTGATTAGAATATATCAACACATCACTAGGTTGCTACTGACTGGATAGCTCAATTTGAGAGGTGCCAAAGCTTACAACATGTTTTTGGCCCTCTCCACCCCACTTAGGAGGATTTAAAGTGAGGCATGGGTTTTGAGGTCAACCAAATATTTTAACTTGTGGTAAAGTTTGTTTCCTTTTAAAGTGGCTTTGATTTCACGATCCATTTGTTAAGATCCTAATCGCATATGGAAAATAGTAGTCACTTTACTAGTAAATAAAAACCCCCGTACTTCCGATGGCCCTAACTAGGGCATCGTTTCGTGCGAGGGTCAAGACGGGATCAAGTTCAATTATGTCTCTCAAATTCCCACATTTGTAAAGGGTACTTGTTTTCTCTAGCATGTCGTTTAAGGGGGTTAGTCTCGTCATTATCAAGTTCACCAAACATAGGACAAGACAATTGTACCTCGTTCGTTGATCACTCTATTAAGAGACGCTGCTCAAAATTTGTCATGCACTCGAACCCAAGCCAGATAGATGAGGTCACTGGTTTAGGACGTAATTAAACAGGAAATTGAGACTTGAGACTCGCAAAAGTATCAACCACCAGAAAGATTGAGTATCAAATTAAGATTTGCTTAGTTTGTTGGTAAATTGGGGCTTAACCTAATTTAACTAAACAAGTGGGATTTTGGTTTAAGGGTTTTGTCCAAGTGAGGAAAATGTGTGGCAAATCTAAACTCATCTTTTGTTGCACCTTTTTTTTTCACCATATTTTTTAATATAACAAATAAATAAACGAACAATTATGTAGGAGGTATATATCATATATGTTGATGGGTATGTTGGAGGTAGGTATTGTGTGAGGGAATGGGACCACTGAGAAATGGATTGTAATGGGATGGGGGAAGAGAGAGAGAGAGAGAGAGAGAGAGAGAGAGAGAGAGAGAGAGAGAGAGAGAGAGAGAGAGAGAGAGAGAGAGAGAAAGAGAGATAGAGAGAGAGATGACTGTGTGTGCATGCTTGGAGAAGAGGTAGGCAGATGGGAGAAAGGGAACACTGATAGACAATTACGTGCTCCACTTACAACCGTTTAATTTGTATCCCTATTAACACAACAGATATGAGGTTGTCTCTCTGTGGGAGAGAGCCTTGGCCCTTTCTCCTATCTCTCTCTCTCTCTGTGTGTTTCTGCCTCTGTTTCCTGCTCTGCACCTCTGCCTCTCTGCCTGCTACCACCAGCCCAAACAAGCAGTGATACTAGCAAGTAAAACTTTTTCCCTCCTCCCATTTTAAGACACAGTTACTTTAGTATCTCGAGTTACAACGTAAACGGCACATGTAATATGAGATTCACTATTGCGGCATCTCAAATCAATCATGCACTATCATGTATCTTAACTTTTTTATATAACACTACGTAATTATGTTAGTACATCCATTGACAAAATGACAACTCCGTTGCATGAAAGTCTATCTTCCCATTTGAGTGACTCCCAAGAGGAAGAGAAGCTTAAAGAGTTGTATCGTAGAGATTTTATCGCATCCCAGAAACCCATAACCCCCGCCCATGTCAGATACTCCATGTGTATCGAGCTCAATGAGTTTTTTTTCTGTAGAGAAAGATGAGGTTTGAGAGGTGCGAGTCAAAAGCAACAAAACCAATGGACCAAAACGAGTGAAAAACTGAAAATTGAAATTAAAAAAATTATGCACTGATTTCCCCAACTGCTACTTTACCAATCAATCATGTCTAAAAAAGTATATATATTTTGATATTTTCCTTACAACTAGAGTTTTTTGTCACATTCTTCTGTCACACATTTTGTAATCTTTGATATAAAAAATGAAAAGGATTCACGGGTCATTATTTTTAGGGTGCATTATTTATGCACGAATGGTAATTCATACACAAAAATAGTTTTCCTTCCAAATGCAAATGCAAAAGAAAAGAAAAAAAAAAGAATTCGAATTTAGCATCTTAATTGGGAAGTGGGGTCTCATTCACTCTCACCCAAAATGCAATTTCCACCAGTTTGTATCAACCCAAGTTGTTGTTATAGTGGGGGTTTATGCTTATATGCTTGCACTCAATCCAGAATTTCAGAATTTTTTTGGGGTATCAATGACATAAATGGGCAAACGTATGATCACTCACTCACTCGTAGTTGTAGATTTGATATTAGAAATAGACGTGTTGATATTTTAATCTGTGGAAATCAAAACAAAATAAATAACACTATTTTAATTTGAGTCTAAGGTTCTTCAATGCTCCAGAGACTTAAAGCTCATGTATAAGTGTCCGGCGAAGTTGGGATTCAAATTTAAGTTTCACTATGAGAATTGAGTTAGAGGTGGAGTGTCAAATTAGGAAAAATGTTATTCAACCAAGAAAAATGAAATTTGTATCCAATCATCTTCAATGGACATAACTAAATTGTTAAAACACATGTTTTGAGTCCGGTGCTTTCTCCTTCAATACAAAGACTCAAATATTAAAACTCAAGATGAGTCTTAAGATTTGAGTACTTGCATTTGAGAAAATAACCAAAATACATAAATGTAGCAACTTTTTGGGACCCAAATATAAAACAAGAAATGATAAATGTATATCAGTTTTAGGCTCTCACATACTCCGATTTAACCTTAATTTTTTTCGTTTGATTTCCTTAATATGATAAATAAAGAAGAGTGTGAGAAGAAATTATGTGAAAATTATCTCCTTATAAAAATATAAGTATAGAATTTGAGTTCTTGCATCGAAGACTCTCAATTTTTTTTATATCAAATAAAAAATAAATAAAAAGGTGAGTGACCACGAAAAATGGGAAAGGAATCCGCTTCGGATCTCTACCACCAAATTCACCAAATCAATGAATCAGGATCTTTGAAATTTAATCAAACGACTAAAGTTATTATAACTTTTAAAAAGATCTCCTGTTTATAACCGTTAAATCAAATTTCAAAAATTCAATTCTTTGATTTGGTAAAAATTATCAGGAGATAATCCATTTCCCGAAAAATGAAACTCCATCAACATATCATAACAAAATAAATATACAAACTCCAAGGCCTGTTTTGGGAAGAGGACATTTGCAATGATAGGACCTCTTGGGATTTGACACTAATAATAAAATAAAATAAATATTCCTCTTAAAAATACACGAACAAATTCACGTATTCCCCTCAGGGCAAAAAGAGCTTTTCCCTTGCCTTTCCTGGAGAAGTCTGATATGCCTTAAATCTCTCTAAAAAACAATGTGTCACTAATCTCTCTTCTACTAGTGTAAAAGCCTTGTGACTTGTACTATGCATGTTTCTTCTCGTATTTCCGGAACCCACTATGTTCCCTCTACCACTCAGCAAAATGAATTTTGTCGTCGATGCGCGAGTGGGCAATTCTTGACTATTTGACGCATTCAAGCATGAGCAACTGATCCAAGCATTATTCAATAGCAAATTAGCAATAGTGGACGTTACCCGAGAGATTTGATTTATTTTTTTCCCTTTCTTTTCTTTCCAGTACTTCTAGATGCCTGTCTAGCAAACAAGCATGGGAGGATTAAAAGCAGACAGACTTTCATAGATACTTATTATAGCAATTAAGGCAAGAATTTATTCCAATGCCTAGATACAAAGAAGAAAATAAATTTTACTTAAACTAATTAACAATATATAATTTAAAAAAAAAAAAAGCAGAAGAAAAGAGAATAAACGCAAAGCCATCACGAGAATAAAACTTTCCAACAAAAGAGAGAACCAAAAAAAAAAAAAATCGGAGAGAATAAAAGAGGCATTGTCTCCATCAAGGTTTCGATCAGTACATTTCACATATTCACTGCTGGCCACCATATTCATACAACAAAATCCATGAACAAAACGCATGAGATTCCAATACCTCATAACCGAACCACCATCGCCCAATCGAAGCTTTACCAGAAAGGAAAACATGACGAATTATTCTCAAACAGCCGCAACATATTATCTTTGGTTGGTAGCAAACTAGTCTCGGATTAATTCCGGAATCTACAGCTGAGGAGGCTGCACCTACTTTTCCATGGCAATTTGCCACAATCCTGCAGATGGGACTTGTTTTTTCATACAAGAAATTCTCCACTGGTTGTAGATAACTTGTCTCACCGGGCACTAACTGACTTCTATTACATCAACATATTTTCGTAGCCAGCGTCTGCGAAAAGCTATCGCTTTATGACAATCTTGTTTCCCACGACACTTCTAAAAAAAGCAGGGTCTAAAATCACCCATTCCACATGGATTTCCCATGTCTAAACAAATATGTGATTCCAACATAGGGATTTCACCAAGTGCCCAGCAGGAATTGAATAAATTGTACAAACTCAGATGTATAATTCGCTGAATCGAAGCACTTCACGTGGAAATTGAGTTCAACATCCACATACTCGCTGCCAGGCCTTTAAATTATTTGAACACAAGTAACTTCAACTGATTGACTGTATAGCAAGTAACAGCTATTTACAGATTTTCACTAATTATTGAGATTTTACCACTTCGGTGACAAAAAAGTTTAGTGGAAAGTAGATACAACAAAATACCTCATGTGACAGCTCGGGGCTTAGGAGCAGCAGAACGTGGAATTGCCAAGATGGCCACCAGGCCGCTGGCTAAGGATGCAACTGCTGCCACGGCAAAGGCTGGAACATTTCCACCACCAAATAGCTGATCCCAAGGTCCACTTCCTAGTGATACGATCACCTGTTCTCAAAAAACAAATATTCATGACCAAAATCAATATAATAAAGATGATAAATGTCATTCATAGAGAAGTCATTCATAGAGAAGTCCATGGGAGTTCAATCAGGTAATATTGGCTCAATACAAAACAACTAATAATGGAGTAATTGTTGATTACATGCGATATTATACACTAATCAACCACACTAAGGGGAGTGAGGAAGGTTTGAACCCGGGACACAGTATGTTGAAGAAGAAGGCCCTAACTAACAAGGCAATCCACCACTTGCAATAATCGAGTAATTGTTATAACAAGGGAAAATAAATACACAAATATGATTCTTTTCAAAGCATGCTCTTCAACTCAAGCATCGATGATTTGCATAAGGCATCAACCCATAACAGAACGGCTGAACCATCACATCCTAGTAGCAGTTTAAGGGGTTTTGTGAAGCAGGGTATTGTTTCTTGGCTGGTTTCAGTAATTCGTCCCAAAATGTGATAGTAGAAAACAGTTTCGACTATGTTTCACATAATAAAACAATGGAAAGGTGCAAAGTTTAAAAGCGTTTTTTCTTGATCGATCAATTGGTTAGTGCCTTCATGTCCCAGGTGAGGACATGCTCAACATGAACATGCTTATTTTCAGAGTTAAAAGGCTTGAAGAAGCTGAAAAAACTCAAATGCATGTATACATAGAATACATGGACGGTGGTGCTACGGGAAGAGGAAGGCCAACAACTACTTAGTTAGTGGTAATTAGGAATTATAATCAAAACATACGACTTAAAATGAAAATTTAACCAATGATGGGACATGACAAAAGAATTAGGATGCATATAGCCAACCCCAAAGTTGGGACAAGGTGCAGGTGTCATATTTGCATGTATCTCTTCACGTTTGGTTGATGACTGTAGAAGTGTAATATAACCTTATACAGTAATGCATTTCATGTTAATTTAGTTTCAACACAGAAGCGTCACATGCATTGCTAAAAGGAAATGAGTGTTCCTACCTGTGGGATTACTATTGCCAGATTCAGTACACCCATTGATAAACCTACAAGAACCAAACATCAATGTAAGAAATCCTACAGCCAAAACTCCAACGAAAACTCTTTAACATTCTGTTAAAGAAATTCCGACCTTGGCCAAGTCCCAAAGACTCGATTCGAGAAGAAACCAAAGCATACGGAACACTGTATGTGATCTGCAACAAATATTCCGGTAATTTAAATTCCATTCATAGACCAAGTTCACACACAAAGCATGGCCATTCCATAATAACCGCGTGGTGAAGAGACCACCTCCAAAAATGATAAAATCTTTCAAATTCACCCAAAGTGTTTCAAAAACAAAAGAGAAAAGTGAGATGAATTTTCCTCAAATAAAAAATTATTACTTGACAGGTCAAATTCTTACAGAGAATATCCCCAACTTGACACCCCCTCCCTTCCCACAGCAGCATATTTTGAGGTCAAATGGATGAGATTAACCCTTTTTGTTCTGAAGTAATTTTTTATATTCTTTTGATGTAAAATAACCATTATGGTATGCTTGATTAATCATTAGTTACCAAAAGAAAAAGATTGGTCGTAAGCAACTTCCAACATTCCCTGCTCATAAAAATTAGCCCCTGTTTGCCTTCGAACAGTGAAACATACATTGCCAAATAGAAAGCATGCTTCGCATTCAACCAGAGATAAAAGCTTACCGCCAATGGAATACCGAGAACTGCAAAAACAACCAGTGCAGCTATCACAATACCATCTGGAGGTAAATCATGGCCCCCAACACCAATACTCTTGTTCACAAATGTAATAACAAGCATTGCGAAAAAGCAAAGAGTCATGAGAATGCTTGAAATTCCCCACACAAAACCAGCCCCCCATTTCCTGCAAAGCTTCTCCATAAGCACTGAGGTTATACCAAGAATAACCGAATTCAACATCAAACCAAGAGCTCCCATTCTAACACCAGTACTATAATTTATCCCTTCATTTGGCTTGCCACCATAAATCTCTCGACCCATCCAATCAGTATCAAAGAGAAGAAATGGAAACCACCCAATCCAGTTTAGAGCAATAACAAGTAGGATTAACCATACAGACCCTGGGAAATATCTAAAAGTCCCAAACAGCTCCCAGAGAAAAGCTTCTTCGATATGACTTGACTGTCCTGGCCCTTCATCAGCAAAGGGTGTAGTTCTGTTACTTGAACCCAGAGGTGTTTCCTGAGCTGCTGATATGCTTATCCACGTAGTAATTGCAATAAAGGCAGTGTCGACGAAGAAAGCAGACTTGAGGTTTGCACAGTTAACATTGCATGCTGGGGTAATTGAAAATGGAAAAACCTTGAACAAGTAACTTATTGATCCAGTTGCATAGCCAAGAACATTGCCAACCGCCATAAACAGAGAGAAATAAGCGTTTGCTACTCGAGTTCTTCGATAATCCTTTTCTAGCAAGATAGAAATTACGAAGAAAAAAAAGTGTTACTGGGTTTTATTTTGACACTTTGATCTTTCAGCACATTTGATCCTTTCAGCGCATTGGCAGCTAACCAATGTTCCACAAAAGAATCAACAATGTTCCATGCATCAATAATTTCTAGTTGTCTTTGAGAACTTCACATAAAAAAAGTAATTCCATAGCGATGTGGTCATTAATCTCTCTCCATTATGTGAAATCAATAACAAATCACGATGACCTACATTGAGGGGAAGATAATCTCTTGCAAGATAATCAAGGCATGGTTTAGACCTCTGCCACTTTGGCATTCACTAATTACAGACACCGGCTTTCATAGCCTTTTTGGAATTATAAGACATCTGCAAGCAATCAAATTTCTAGCATTTGCGGAAACAGTCTACTCAATAGTTGTTCAGGAGGTCTGTTCAATGTTCATCTCGCACGTAGGCAAATATAAATAGCTTTCTTGCTACAATAGTAGCCATTATTCTGTAATGCATTCAAACATCCATACGGACCATACCAAGTACTGACCCCTAACTTACCAAGGATCTCGAGTTCTAAACTCTCGAGTTTACTGCAGCACGCACAGCTTAACATATTAGGGTGGATTATCACAGCATACAAAATGAGTGGATTATCAATACCAAAGTTCCAAAATTAGGAAAATGTTTACACTTTCAGTCTTCAGCAGATCATAAATTACCTAATTTATGAAGAGTTTTCAACAGCATTTTTCACAGAATTCATCAAAATTCATTCCAAAATTGACTAAAAGTTGACTAAGGTCAATGGATTGAATTGTTACTCACTACGGTCTAGCGGTATTCCTAACAAGTGTATCGTCTGTTTGAATTTCGTTCGATACCAATTTACTCCCCCATCGCTTAATGTAAATATATTGTTTTATCATAAACAAGTTTGCAAATTGTTCAAATTGTTCAAATTGAAGGTTCATACCAGTGAGATCAGCGAGGAGAGCTCTACAAGGACCCTGAGTCACATTATTGGCCACGTCCAGAATCCAAAACCCGAACACGAACACGGCGATGGCTCTGGGCCTGACGCCGCCGCCTCTGTCGCCGAGCAACCAACCGATATCGGCGGAGAAACCGATGATTAGAACGGAGACGGCGATACAGGCCGCTCCGACGACGATGAATGGGCGCCGGCGACCGTATCGGCTAGTGCAGCGGTCGCTCATGTGGCCCACAAGGGGCTGGACCACAAGGCCCGATAAAGGCCCACAGAGCCATATGACGCTGGCCCAAGCGTGAGGGATTCCGAGCTCTTGAACGTACGGGGTCAAGAGCGAGAGCTGTAGGGCCCAACCGAATTGGATTCCACACGCGACCGATGCCACTCGGAGGAGTTGCCGGAGTGGGACTCGGGTTCGGACCGCCGGTCGAGCCCTGACCCTGTGGCGGTCTGCGTCTGGAGCTGGCATGGTGACCGGTCCCCTCTCTCTCTCTAGAACCCTCGAATATATTCCTTCCTTCTCTCTAGAACTGTGGGAAATGGCGTGAAGTGAGAGAAGGTGGCGGTTTTTTGTTTGGCCGCGGGAACGTCAGGTGTGTAGTCAGAGTGAAGGGGATGGGGAGACGGAAATGCCCTTGCATGTTATTTAATTTTACGAAAGTGCACTGGATGCGGAGTTTGGAGTGGCAAATTATGATTGGAAGTGAGGGCAAAGTCGGTCGGTGTGGAATTTTGGTTTTCCGGAGGTCGACTGAGTCCGGACAAGCCGAAGGTTGCACCGAAAGGCTAAACTGCTTCCGACATTTGTTTCGGGTAAACGACACAAATGAATGCAGACCGTTGGTTTGCTAGCTGTTTGATGGTGTATATTTATAAATTTTGTAGGCAAAATGGGTATATACATTGATGTAAAAGATTAAAGCTAGAACAAAGAAAACTTCATTCCTTCGTAAAGAATTAGACGAGTCGGACTAGATTTTAAGGGCCGACGCTGATTGTCAAACTAATATTGAGGTAAAATTAATAATTACCTAAATAACGTAACAAATAAAATTACAATATCTTGTTTGTTAAAAGTAATAAGTTTCATAACTAAAGCAAATAAAAACAATCAAAATCCAATTACTCTTATATGAGTGTTGCTCAATTTACTCTTAACCATATGTATTGAATGCCTAATGCGGTGACTCATCAATTAACAAAGTCTTGTTTCTTGAGTGATCCCTATACACCAATTTAGAAGTGTAATTTTGAAATTTGTAATAGTTCTTACGTTTTCGTGAATACCTACATCTTTTCTCTACGATTGAGAAGAATAAACCATTTGATCTTTAAGCATATAGAATTTTAGAATTTTGTTTTTGATGCATTTAGTACTACTCATGTGATTTACAAGTTTAAGAAAGATTATTTTCTATCATTAGTTAGATGTATACACCGATATGTGGTTAAGACGTTCTCACTAAATATATACACTAATATACTCGTGTCAGATAAGCTGATAAATATGTGATACTTGCCCTCAAGTAAGGGGTTTGGAGGTGGAGGAAGATGTACGCTTTGTGAGATGCCCTCTTATGTAAACAAATCCTAGGAGTTGCGTCATTAGAGAGAGAGCGAGAGAGAGAGAGAATTAGTACAATTCTCCTTATTAGTATTTGGTACAATTCTCAATTGACCTTCGTCGGTACAGACGTTGACAACATTGGATATTTTATTTTATTTTTTGGTAAAGGACAACATTGGATATTTGTTCATGTCGGCCACACCAAATTGGCATACGCAATCTCTTAAATTTTCGATAGTGAACAACACTCCACGTCTTCAAACTTAATCGACAACAAACTGAGGGGATCCAATTACCATTTGGGCTACAACAACTACAACCCAAATTGCAGTATCGGGCTCGTTCGGAGGCATTTGCAATTCTTCCTTCTTGTATGAATGTAAAAAAAGCCTTAGCTGCCCAAATCTTTATAGCACACAATGGGCCAACCCAGGTTGAATTCAATAACTGATTGGGTTTATGAACTTGTAATTTTTCGATGGGGGTGACTCAAGTCGGCTCTATTTTTTAGGGTCATGGGTCGGCCCAACAATGCTGGATTTTATTGGGCCATTTTTCAAAATGATTAGGGCATGAACCTTGCATATTAGGTTATGAGTCGGCTCATAAACTGATGACCCAGCCTGACGTAGAACAAGATTGGTGTTGTTTTAGGTGTGGAAAAATTAAAAGGAGGCGGCATTTAATCAACAAAAGTAATTGGAGAATTGGTAATTTACGGGTTAAAAGGTTATTTGATGCTAGCATATTCCGGAAGTGGATTTTTAGACTTTTCATGTTGTTCATATTAACGAAACTTTCATTTGGAATTTCCGTTTTTGGTACATTACAAAATGGATTTGAAGAAAATGATGAGATCTACATGACTTATTGGATAGAAATGAGCCGAGTCAGAATTTGGACGAATTATTTCGTTTACCATGTTTAAAACGAGATTTTAATATTTTAAGATTGTTTTTGATATTTTGTTGTTTGTTACCTTTGAGCTTGTGAACTACCAATTCTCCAATCACTTTTGTTGATTAAATGATGCATTCTATTAATTTTCCCGCACCTAAAATAACACCAATTATGTCCTACATCACAACCCTAAGGACCATACCCGATTCGGTCCAACAATTTAAAAACTAATTAACTAGTGTTGATTTATTTTTCCATACTTGCACAATTTAATTCATTCATTTAACCAATTAACTCTTTAGTTCAAATGGCAATTGAGTAAGAGAAACTGTTGGGCCAAAATTAACAAAATGTTTTTTCTAGTTAAATAAATAAAGACTTGACTTATCACCCACGAGAAGGGTATTTCCCTTGAGCCCAATGAAAATTTAGAAGTTCATAACCCAATCTGTTAAGTTATTCACCCCAGCTTGGCCCATCATGCGCCGCACATATTGGGCGAACTAGGCTTGTTCCAAATTAACATGTCCCATTCATACAAAAATATCAATGCACTACATTTTGTGGTCTCCATTGTTTTCAATTTATTTTTAATCTCATACGAGAGAATTGATGACTTTTAGTGTAAATCAAAATGTAAGCTACGATTTCATGAACAAGTGCCCAATCAAGAAATAAAAAAGAAAATGATGTAGAACAAATGATTGGTAGATGAAGAGAAAATGGATTGTCGGATGATAAAAAATGCAGTGGGAGTTTGTAGATTTGGCTTTTGAGCTTCGATTTGGGCCCATGATACTTTTTCATAAAGAAAGGTTTAAACACACGGCTTTGCTGTTATGTTAGTGGGATTTTAACCATTCGAGGTCGTCTCAACCTCCAAAATGCAATTTTAATTTCTCAAATAAAAATCAGACCACTCGATTTCCGTTCGATTAATGTCGTTTTAATTTCCTAAGCTTTTGAGTTGTCCAACATAGTTGTAAATGACTTATTTAAGTCGTTGATGTTATCAGTGTAAATCATCACATCAATGACTCAAAACTATTTTGGGATTACCCTCCAAAAGCTGGTGGATTCCAGATTATCGGTTCTTCAAGGATTTACGTTAGTAATCCTTTTGCTTCATGAATCAGAAAAAAGTAACAATTTATGCTAGGAATTGGTCGCGTGAAAGCACTAGTTCAACACTTATTTCAAACAAAACTCATCGATTAACATCTACATAAAAGGTCTGTAGCTTGTAATCATATTTAACACTAACAAAATGCATAAATCAAGTTGGTAATCACTATTAGGTTTAGTGCTAAATTCAATCCCTACTTGATTGGAGGTGATGTTATGTTCAAACATGATTAAAGAAATGACGTTTTGTATGATCAAGTGGGGGAGTGGGAGGGTGTTGGGTACTACGTCACTTGCTTTGTGGTTTGAACTTTGAAGGAGGATATATATGCCTTTCCATAATTTGGTGATGTGGTTTGATATACTCCACTCGGAAGCAACCAGCTGCAATGATGTAATGCTATAGCCGTAGCATTAGGACAATGAACTGGCTGCTAACATCTAGAAGAGAGAAACAAAAATTGGAATTGGCATGGTAAACTTCCCCACAGCCAAACATGCATGTATTTGAATTGAGTATAAAAATTCTTTAACTGATCCGTTAAATTGGTTAGAACAGTATGATTTTCGTCTGCATCTAAGTTTGAATCTTTTTATTATAATTTAGATAAATTTGTAGAATATCGTGAAAATCAAAGTTTTATCATCAAACCATTAGTTAGTAAACATAAATATAAAATAAACTTTACAGAATTTTGATAGTTATGGGAGTGTTGAAATATGTTGATACACAAAATCAGTGAGGACTTTGATACAACAGAAAGTGTTAAATTTGTGACCTTCGCTAGATTGCTCCGGTCACTAGTATGGATAAGTATGCAAACATATAGAGATAGGGAAGCAAACATAAGATGTACATGGTTCACCCAGATTGGTTACGTCTACGGAGTAGAGTTCTCATTAATTGTGAAGGGTTTACACAAGTACGTAGGTTCAAGCTCTCCTTTAGTGAGTACTAGTGAATGATTTAGTACAAATGACATTAGGAAATATTGTGGGGGAATGATCTCCTTTTATAGAAGAGAGTTTCTAGCTTTGTTCTGACATTGACACGTGTTGTATTGTGATTGGCTTCTGATGTTGACACGTGTCGCGTTGTGATTGGCCTCCTGGTTGAAGGAAAACTCTTCTGGGTCCTTAACGGTATAACGTTGACCGATGCTCAGTAGTTTTAGAATTAGTCAAGTATGGTACAAATAAAATTCGACACCGTTTCTCAAATGGAAGTTTGTAAAGGGAAATGCTGAATCCTGCGAGTAGTGAGTTCTTACTCTTCGCTTGTGTACTTCTACGTACGCTTTAACTCTGTCGGCCGGTGTTTATGACTCTCACTTCATCTTCTAAAAGTTACTTTGACTCAATTTACCTAAATCATATTTTATAATATTAAGCCTATATATCTATATCTCCTTATTTATAAACTGTAAGGAATGAAACAACTATACGCGGCCTGATCAATAAGTAGTGTTTATCGTGCCCGTGTTTTTTTTCGTATCATATTCGTTTTCTTAACGGATTATTAATAATGGACCCAATAACGACTATACGCGACTTGATCAACCTGCTTTGTTAGCCGTTTTGTGTCAGGTTAACTAATTATGTAAGAAATTGTCATATTTAATGTCTAAATCTTAACGGGTAACCTAATAACAACATGTCTCGTTAACAGATTGACTCTAAATCTGTTATTTTTGTATCATTTCATATCTAGTTAATAGGTCATGCAAAAGCTACTAGGCCTATATGCCCCTTTAAAATAAACTAGCTATGGATAGGAAAAGCCGAACACATGAACTCTGTGGGTCAAAAACAAAAGTTTTAGCTTAGGAATAGTTAGTCAAAATTGTGGCATTGAGTGGGTTAGTAGGCAGAAATGTGAATGGAGCGGAAAGCAAATGATCACTTGCTTTATCAATT